AATGAAAAAGGAAATGAACATATCCATATTTCACTTAAAATATAATCAGTAATTATATTATTATAATTATATTAATTATTTATGAAGAAAAAAGGAAATGAATATGAACAGAAAAAAACGAATTTTACACACGAGAATCTATTATTAATATTTTGTTACTAATAGACACAGGAATCAGGCCAAATGAAAAAAAGATTTAATATTAAAAATTTATTGAAAATATAACACCGCTTTCCCTACGAAAAAATTAGTAACCACCACATGAAATGAATATTAACTCTTTCTATTAGTGAAAAAGGAAATGATTATTACTCATAATGAATAAATATATGAATTATTATACATAGTAGCATGGAATTAATTAGTAGGACAATTATATTAGGTAATCTAATTAATAATTTACTTTTTAAATTATATTCCCTTTTTAATAATGAATATTTTCTTAAAGTATATACACAGATTATGCTTATCAATATAGAATTAAAAGTGTATAGATGTATAATATTATTAGTACAAAATCAATTATACTTGCCTTAATAATTAATTATTAATATTATTGCCTAATAATTATGTGTTGTCACCTTTTTCGGGATAATTATTATGGTAATTTATATACATATATATTTTTATACTTAATGTATAATATTATTGGGCACAAAATAAATATACTTACCTTAATATATATATATAGATTATTTTTAATATAATTTCTTAATTTATTAAAGGTAATTATTCTCATAATTTTTCTTTCCTTCTTTCGTGTAATTATTATGGTAATGTATTTAAATATTGGAAGAGAAAAAAATGTTATAATTAATATAATTAATGAAATTATTATTGCAATTGCCACAATATTTGGTAATTATAAATAATATAATTAAGAAATTTGAGAAATATAAGATTTCTTCCGTGGAAATATTTGTGACAATTTCATTAAATTATAATTAATAAAATATGAAATATAATTAAAGAAATGAAATTATAAAATTAACAAAACATGAATATTTATAATTTTTTTTAAATATACATACATACACTTTTTAAATTTCTAAATATAATTTTTTAAGTATAAATCTATCAATATAAATTAAAATTAATGAAATTATATTATAATTTTCCTATATACATATTAATAAATATTATGTGTATATACAATGTATTATACAATCATATAAGGATATGCGTCCGATTAGAGTTTATATTTGTTCATACAAAATTTAGAATTTACATTTTCATTAATTTCTAAGTACAATTCTCTTAGTTATTATTATTCATATTTTTAGAATTAATAATATATATATAATACAATTTGGAATAAATCAACTTAATTATATGAATTTTTTCTATAAATTTATCTAAATATGTACATGATTAGAGATTATATTAATCATACAAAATTTAAATTTAAATTTTGTATGTTATGAAAATAGATACTTGACCAAATATATAAAAGTCCAACTATATTATTATATTGTACATTTTAACATTTTTTTATTTTTTATTTTAATTTTAAATTCATTAAAAAAAAATTTCGTGCAACGCACGGGTAAAACACTACATTTTAAAAAAAATACAATTTCATAAATATCATAAATTAATTAGTACAATATCATTTACATTTATAACAATTAAAGAAAAAAATAAATAATTTTAAATATATGAACCAATGATTTCAAAATGAAACTAATATACAGTTACAAATAAATATAGCATGATTAGATTTACTTTAATTAGTTTTAATTCCCTTAATGATATGACTTTTCTTTTATAGTTTTTTGTGGGAGACTAAGGGAGTGTTTGAGTTGCTGGAAATTATTATTATTTTTTGAATACTTACTAATAAAAAAAATTAAAATATTTGTTACCCCCCTCCCCCCCCCCCCCCCTCCAATAACACGTGTAAATCTTATATTTTTTAAAATTACAATTTGATAAATATTATAAATTAATTAGTAGAATATCATTTCTGTTTATAAATTATAATAATTAAAAAAAATTTACATATGTGAACCAATGATTTCAAAATGTAATTAATATACAGTTACAAATAAATATAGCATGATTTGATTTACTTTAATTAATTTTAATTTTCTTAATGAAATGTCTTTTCTTTTATCAGTTTTTTATGGGAGGCTAATGGAGTGTTTGGATTGCTATAAAATATTTTAAAATAAAAATTCATACTAATAAAAAATCATTTTAAAATATTTTTTTAACCCCTCATAACATATGTAAATCTTATATTTTTAAAAAAATACAATTTGATAAATATCATAAATTAATTAGTACAATATCATTTCTGTTTATAATAATTAAAGAAAAAATAAATAATTGAAATATGTGAACCAATTATATCACAATAAATCTTTCAAAATTTAAAACAAAAGAACGGAAATTAAAAATAGAACGAAAATATTTCAATAATAATATTCTAAATCATCAAGTAAAAGTAAATTAAAAATGAAAAGATAATATTTCAATAATAATATTCTATATCATCAATAGTAAAGGCATATTTTAAACAATAGTAAAGGTAAATTAAAAATGGAACGGAAATATTTCAATAATAATATTCTACATCACCAATTAAAAATAAAACTGAAATTAGGTAAAAATGCCATTGCATATGATATTCTAATTGATTAATTGACGGAAAATAAAAAGAATAATTGGTTGAAAATGAATATGATATTACTAATTGACTGATATTTTACGATGATATATTTTCACCAGAGTCACCCATTCTAATGGACTGAAGATGTTAGCTATAGACGATGACGGACAAAATTATGTTGCTACTACCAATGCCGTCTACAATATGAGGTTTTAATAATGTGTAAATACAATTGGTGATATTATGTTTTTTTTTAATGACAAAATTGCTATATATCTACACAAAAAAAAATAAAAAAAAAAATAAAGCAATTTAGACAAAAAAAAAAATATTTTTCATACAAATGAATTAGGATAGCAATTCATTCCTATAACTTGAGTTGCTAAAGAATGAGCACGTTTGCCTAATTTATAAAAATACTAAACAATGATAAATACAAGCTTCAAAGTTACAACAATGCATGCGTATATCTACACATTAGCTATTAATTTGAGCAATTATTTGTTTAAATTCAAGCAACGATAACATCAAAACATATAAACGATCCAAACTATATCTTCAATTGCACTATATAATATTTAATGTTCTAATTTAAATAATTATATATCAATCCAGATATTCTTAATATATTACAACAAATTCACGGGCGAAACCATATCTTTAATTGCACTATATAATATTTGAGTTATTACTGAAAAAAATCAATCTTTAATCACGGTTAATTGTATGTTACTTTTTTCCGAGTCACCCATCCTGATAGTCTGATAGTTTTAACTTTAGACGATGATGGATAAAATTTCGTTACTACTACCAATGTCGTCTAGTTATAAATAGATTTTCAATAATGTATAATTTAAGCCATTGATATTATGTTTTTTTTTTATATACAAAAATGACAAAATTGCTATATAGCTGATCTACATAGAAAATATATCTTCCATATAAATAATTTATATAACTGAGTTGCTAGACAACAAGCTAATTAGCCCAATTAATACAAATTATAAACACTGATACATAAAATCTCTAAAGTTGCAACACCGAATGCGTATATCTACACGTTAGCTATTAATTGGGCAATTATTTATTCGAATTCAAACATTGATAACATCAGAAAACATAATCGGTGCAACTCAATTCTTCAATTATATTATATAATATTCGATTTTATAATTTATACAATTGTATATCGATATAAATATTTTTAAAATTTTATAACAAATTTATTCCGTGCAACGCACGGGCGCAAATACTAGTTTTATCTAAAAAGCTTTTTGGACTTTGTTTTCTTTTCCTAGGGTTCCAAGCTCCAATCTTGGGTGGACTTTTCCGGTCAACGATTAGAAAAAGTGTATGTGCAGCAGTGCAGGCAGCTTCACCGTACCCTCCTCTTCCTCCTCCCTTTTTCCAACTAATACTCCTCAATGGTGATGTGGTCATATCCACCAACGCCGAAGCAACTCTCTCTCACACTCTGCGGTGTCGCACTCGGAATCTCCTTCATCTGCGCCGGCGCTTACCTCTCCTACGCCAACATTGGCCCTCAACAAGCCCGCACTAAGGCCCGCAAAGACTACCTCAAAGCCCGTCTCAGAAACCTCCTCCAAGATTGATTCATTGCTCTCTTGTTCTTACTCTCCAACTCTTTGGCTTTCTGGATTCGCTATCTTTTGACTGGTAATTTTTAATTTTTTTTTTATAATTTATTACTTTCTGCTGTTATCGGAGTCGGTGTTTATGCGTAATTATGATAGTTTGAAATGAAGGTTTCATATTTTTTTAAAAATTTTTTATTTTGGTTTGCCCCTTTAAATGTTTTCCCTTTCTGAAGTAGCGAAGAATAGATTTGCTGGTGTTTGGTATTGTTTATATTTGATCTTCTCTATTGGATTGAAATGTGTAAAGTAGTATGAATTCAAAATTACAATATGATGGAATTAAGATGATGACATTTCTAGTCTTTCCTGTTGATTAAATGCCTTCTGGTGGACATTGATTTCTTTTTGTTTTTCAAGTTGCAGATAGCTGTTCAATCTTTTAATACTAATATTTATTGTTACTTCTACTGAAGCAACTGTTTTGAGGGCTGAACTTTTGTTGTCAAAATTATCATACCTCCTTGAGTTTTTGTATTCCAATTGGTGCTTGTGGTTAAAGATTGCAGTGGTGCAGTCTTGTTGCTTTGTTCACTATCATAAGCTATTGTGACAATGTGACCTGATCGAGTTGTTTATGTATCTGTTAAGAGACCCACATTTGAAAAAATAATAATAATAAGAGAGAACATATGGGTTTATAAGGTCATGTGTTAAGACTAGCTAATTGATTAAAATTATAGCCTAGCAGAGTGACCTTGACCCAATCTTAGATTATAACAGTATCCTACTCAGTGTTGTAAAACCCGCCTAGGCGCCCCTAAGCCAAGGCAATTTCAGCCCTAGGCGGCTTTTAGTCGGCCGGCCGACTAATTCTCCGACTAGGCGCCGAGTTGGGCACCTAACTCGGCCAAGTGGTTTTTTTTGCCTGCTCAGCTACTCCTCTTTTATATTCTTCCAAACATGTACTCAACTAACCATCTAACATATGTAGTTGACTAGTTTGGAGATTATAACAGTAACAACTTACAGTCCTAAGTGGAAAAAGTGGAGACGATATACTCAGATTACTCTGCCGCCTAGGTGCTCTAGCGCCCGACTAGTACCTAGCGCCTTCTGCAACATTGATCCTACTTCACATATGCTAAAATATGAAGCTTGACATTTTTTCCTATTTGATTATGCTGGCTTACCCTCTTACCCAGCTTGTGAATGTTGCTTTGCTTTGCTATCTGATTGCACTTCACCAGTCTGTTTGTCATAAACCGATGATATCCATTTGTACCATGTACCAGTATTATAGGTCCGGACTAAATGATTCCTTGTTTTGGGCAGTCTTCAACAACAACCAATAATCATTTGAGGCCTTCGGCTTTAGATGGTAAGTTTCCTGATGATGAAATCTTCGTGTTGCTCAATTTGTGCTACTCTTAAACAATCCAGCATCTTACTCATATTTCATAACTAAACAACAGGGTATTCTGTGGAGAACACCCCGCAATCTGGTGTGCAAATCTCTCCTACTGTCAACCTCAGACGAGCTTATACTCTTGCTGTTCAGACCCCCTCCTTTGGTGAGATATGGACCAAGATTCACCAAGAAATCCCTTCTGAACAGAATGTGGACGTATCGGAAGTTGATGTCATTGAGGAACCTCTGCAATTAGAGGAAGTACTTAAACCAAGCCGGGAAGATGTAGAAGAAGCACTTTCTGATATTATTATAGAGGACACTTTCACCAAACAAGTTGTTAACTTCTTTAACCACAGTGAGGAGACTGCCCGGAAATGTCTGCTTCTCTCTGAAAGTGTGCACCGTGCTCGCCACTTGTATGCCCCGCTTCACAAACTTGTTGATATCCTTCCATTAGAGCGTGAGACCGTTGCAGATTCCCTTTCTCAAGATCAGTGCGATTTGGCTTTCAAAGTCTTTCTTCAATTTGACAAACTTGACAATCCGTTCCCTGGCATAGACTCCGACAGCAGCTTCAATGATATGCATGCTTGCTACTTCCGGCTGAAGGAGCAACTTGACCTCCGTATAGAACATTCCGGCTCAAAGGTCCACCTCCGTCATGCCACCAAAGTTTCCGCCATATGTTTGCTCGTAGCTGCTGTCGGAGTGGTCACATGTGCTATTCTCATAGCTACTCCCGCTCTCATTGTTCTGGTTGCTACCCCGGCAGCATGCCCTCCTTGCCTTCCTTTGAAGATAACGAAGAAGGAATCAGCTCATCTCGGGCAGCTTGATGATGCCTCAAGGGAAACTTTTGTCCTCGACAATCACCTCGAAACCCTTGATTGCCTGGTTGATCCTTTACGTAATTCGGTAGAGGGGTTTAAGCGTGAGGTTCGGTTTGTGCTTGAGAGAAGCAAGGACAGTTTTATCATCCAGGATGTATTGAAGCAACTGCGAAGAAAGAATCACAAATTCCTTGACCAGCTGACTCGTCTTGAGGAGCACTTGTGCCTCTGTTTTGCTGCAATAAATCGGGCTAGATCTATCCTCCTTAATTATTTACTAATTCATCAACTTCAATTTTCATAGCTGCTTATTGATCACTTCAAAGTTCCACAAAAGTTATCTTCCATCTTAACATATGCTTAGCACCTTCTTCCTTTGTTATTGTAACTGTTAGTTTAGATTCTCAAATATTGCAGTTTCACACACTCAAGGAGCAGCAAATAGGAATCTCTGTCTCACACACACAATAATGAAATGAAAATACATGCACATGGCCCCAGTGGTCCAGTGATTGAGAAGGTACATTTTTTTTTTTGGAATAAAACTAAGCATTCATTCAATAAGATCAAAAGTTAAAACATTACAAATGATAGGGGAGGGTGGGTGAACCACTCCAATTGATCAGGCGTAGAAACAGACTGCCTAGCTAACGCAGATTGTTTAGTGGAAGATTAAAACACATAGGTTTTTAATATCCCTAAGAATGAAGTGAAATGAAGAATCCCCTTTGGTAGAATTGATGCCTTGAACAACTTGGAGGGAATATGAACTTTGTCAAAACTATGTCTTTTAAGCCAACTAAGTGCCTCTCTCACTTGCTTCGATTCCCTAGGAGAAAAGACACATCTCCATTGAGTTTCTTTCGCTGCAACAAACTCTCCAAATTCGTTCCTAAGCACACGACCAAAACCCTTGTTGATAGCCGCATCTACATTTAATCTGAGAAGACAGTGATCATCACAATCGATCGACCTTCCTCGCTCTCAGATTGTCTTTGGTAGGTAAACGTAAGTTGCAAGCTAGCTTGCCATAGGAAAAATTTTTTACCTTTGGGGGAAGCTTCAGCTGCCAAAATTTGCTCCATCATATGCTTGACGTAGAGGGCTTTATAGCAACATTTAAATAATTTTATCTTGAGTGTTCCAGCATAGGGAAATGATATGTAGTAACCTGGAAGTTGTTGTCTGGTAACAATTTCTCCCTCCAAATATGAATTACGGATGATGTCATGTGTTTCAAGCAAGCTATTCCATATATATATATATATATATATATATATATATATATATATATATGATGGATTTGCCCCTCTTCTAGCTTCAAGGAAAGAAGAATGTGGATATATAGTATCTACCTTTATAGATTTTTGGAACAAGAGAATCAGGCTTTTGGATCAATCTCCACGGTTGTTGGCAAATTATGCCCGGACCCGTGTCCACATTGAATTGTGGACACGAGCCCAAAACGACGTCGTTTTTAAAAAAAAAAACGCGTCATTTAGTTAAAAAAAAAAAAATCGCGCGCGTTTTGCCGTTAACGGCGTTATTTTTTTTTTTGGATTATGAATGTACAGTTATGTCGTTATGAATGTACAGTTATGTCGTTATGAATATACAGTTATGCAATTATGAAATTATGAACACAGAGCTCTAACATTATGAACTTACAATTATGAACATATATAGTGATAAAATTATGACCATGGAGCTTTAAAATTGTGAATATAGAGCTTCGAAGATTATGAATGTACAGTTATGGAGTTATGAATGTACAGTTATAGAGTTATGAATCTACAGTTATGGAGTTATGAATCTACAGTTATGAGATTATGAATCTACAGTATGGAATTATGAATGTACAGTTATTGATCAAATTATGAACAAAGAGCTCTAACATTATGAACTTACAATTATGAACATATAGTGATAAAATTATGAACATAGAGCTCTAAAATTGTGAACATAGAGCTTCGAAAATTATGAATGTACAGTTATGGAGTTATGAATGTACAGTTATGGAGTTATGAATGTACAGTTATAGAGTTATGAACGTATAGTTATGGAGTTATGAATGTATAGTTATTAACATATAGTAATAAAATTATGAACATATACTCTTAAAATGAAGCGGTCTGAAATTTAAAAAAAAAAAAAAAAAAAAAAAAAAAAAAGGAGATAACAGTGCCTAACGGCACTGTTACCCGTGTCCAGCAAGCATGCTGGACACGGGTCCAACGCATAACGATTGACGGTTGTTTGCATAGGCCAAGCAATTTTTGGAAGCCCTAACCTCACCATTTTTTTGGGTAGACACAAATATTTCCAAGACTTCCAATGAATCCCCCTGTTAGTGTTTCCACCCCCTTTCCACCGGTATGAATCCATAACAGATTCAATATCCTTTAGGAATAAGGATCAACTAAGTCATCGAATTGCACACAATAATGTAATTAGGTTACTGAAGCAAAAAATAAAATAAAATAAAATAAAAATTATTAAAAAAAAAAAAAAAAAAAAAAAAAAAAAAAAAAAACTACAATTGAATTCCTAAACTAACCAATTTCATGCAATTAGTCCAATTTGTAGATTTTTCAAGTTTCTAGCAGGTCACTCTTGATTTAAAATATTTTTTAAAAATTATTATTTAAAATAATTATTAAAAAAATAAAAAAGCATCCCTGCCGGAGACGAAGAAAGTTTCTTCGTCTTCGGCCATGGAGACGAAGAAGGTTTCTTCGTCTCTATGGCTGGAAGTCTCCGGCGGAGACGATGCTTCCTCTTTTCTTGTTTTTTTTTTTTTTAATTTTAAATAATAATTTTTAAAAAATATTTTAAATTAAGGGTGATATGTTAGAAACCTGAAAAACTTACAAATTAGACTAATTGTATGAAATTTGTTAGTTTAGGGATCCAATTTTAGCTTTTTTAGGTTTTGTGACCTAATTGCATTATTGTGAACAGTTTGATAATCTATTTGATCTTTATTCCTATCCTTTATCCGGCCTTTTGGTAATAGAAATACCCACATGGCATAGGAAGGAAGTGCTTGCACAACCGTCTTTAACAAAATTTCCCTGCATGCTCTTGAAAGGAATCTTTGGTTCCACCCATGGATGCGGTTGATAATTCTTCTTTTGATAAAACTCATAATTTCCTTTCTATTTTTTCCAATAATCGTAGGCATTCCCAGATAGTTTCCTCCACCTCCATCCCTCCTTATTCCCAGGATTTCCCCCCTGTCACTTTCATCAACATTGCGACTGAAACACAAGGAGGACTTCTCAAGATTGATACACTGCCCAGATGCCTTTGCATAAGTCCTTGGGGGATGTTTGACATTAGTAGTCTCTTGGGGGTTGGCTTTGAAGAAAATATAACTATCATCTGCAAACAACAGATCACTGATTGAGGGGGCATTCTAGCCACTTTAATTCCATGCAATTTACCCTCTTGCTCATGATTTTTAAGCATAGCACTGCGACGCTCAGCTACACTGATAAAGAGATAAGGGGAAATAGGATTACCTTGCCTAGGGTCTCTTCTCGATTTATAGGACCTATTTAATCTCCTTTATTCAGCACAAAATACTCAACCGTGGTAACACATTTCATAACTAGATCAACCCATCTATCTGCAAATCCCAACTTTAGCAAGATTTCACGCAATAATGATAATTCCAATCTGTCATATGCTTTGCTAATGTCCAATTTTAAAGCCATATACTCATCTCTTCCATGTGTTTTCCTTTTCAAAAAATGTTGCATTTCATATGCAATCATAATATTGTCAATAATTAATCTCCCTGACACGAAATCACTCTGACTGTTCGAGATGATTTCATCAAGCAATATCTTTAGTCTGTTAGCTAGCGCTTTGGCAAGAATTTTATAGGCTACAATACATAGAGCAATAGGTCTAAGGTTTTTTAGGAATCAAAACAATTTGAGTTATGTTGAGTGTCACGGGGAGCTGCCCTGCTCTAATAAAATCATTACATAACTGCATAATGCTTTCCCCTATAAATCCCAATACGATTGAAAAAATTCAGGATTAAAACCATCAAAGTCAAGGCTCTTATTAGGGTGTATATCAAAAACAACCTTCCTAATTTCATTTCTGGTGAAATTCCGAAAGAGTGACATATTCTGTTTGTGAGTGATCTTAGGAGCTTTCACTGGTAGATTAGAAATTGGGCTCCTAGAGTAGACTATTCTTCTTGAGACCCACATATTGAAAGATATCTTAACAATCTTATCAATGATTCTTACATCAAAAGGTTTGAGTAGAAATTGAGAATCAATCTAGTAAAGTTTATACATATATTAGTGTGAAATTGACTTAAAGAAAAGTTTCTAAAATTATCCCTTTAAAGTGCTTCATTGTTGTGTGCTTGTAAGCCTGAGAACACGTCACTGGGCGACGAACAGGGCTTGAGGGGCAAGTAGGAGATTGGAAAGCAAGACATGGAATTAGGAAAGTAGCCAAAACATGCATTCCTGGCTGGAAGACGATGATCTCCCTATGGTTGCAAATGGACTAAGGTAAACAATGAAACAAAGCAAAAGGTTGAAGAGTTCTGGAGTTCTTCCTCTCCCAAATGTCATTAGACAATTTTCAGATTACAAAACAAATTATTTCCAGAAAATTCTAAACCAATAAATACCTAAGGCCAAAGCAAAAGGTTGAAGAGTTCTGGAGTTCTTCCTCTCCCAAATATCATTAGACAATTTTCAGATTACAAAACAGATTATTTCCAAAAAATTCTAAACCAATAAATACCTAAGGTCAACGGTAACTTTAACGTAAACTTCCACAAAATTAGGACACTCAAACAAACCTAACAACTTAATGAAAATAAACCGGAAAAGACTAATATAAATAGTTTAGCTTCTTATTACATGCGTCAGTGGTAAGTCCTCCCTTTTGAATGCATCATCACACCCCTCCAAGTCAACAAGCTTGTCCTCAAGCTTGAAATCCGAGAAAAGTAGCCCAAAATGGTCCAAGGGCTCCCCGGAAGCATCTTCAGGAACCGCGCCAACCCAATGGACTAAAACTTCCTTGACTCCTATGTTCAACCTGGATTTGGACACAAGGTGAGGTTAGAGCAAGACTCGACCATCGTGTAGTGGGGGCAATTCAGGAGCAACGTCCGGTGGGTTACCCTGATAAGGTTTCAGCAACGACATGTGAAAGACATCGTGAATCCGACTAGACGAAGGAAGCTCGAGCTGGTATGCGACGTCACCCAGGCGCTTAAGTACGCGAAAAGGACCAAAAAAACTTCGGCAAGAGCTTGTGGAACACTCGACGACTGACCGAGAGCTGACGATAGAGATGTAGACGAAGCCAAACCCATTGCCCCACCTCATATACAACCTCGTAGTGCGTGCGATTGTAGAACTTAGCCATACGTACTTGGGAAACCTGAAGGTGGTCCCGAACCAAGACCAAAAACGCATCCCTGAGTGCAATATCTACCGCGTCAAGGTTGGACACACCGATTCGTAGGACAAGAGACATGGAGGGTCGCGTCCCTAAACAACACGGAACGGTGTAGTCCGCAAAGCCGAGTGAAGGATGTGTTGTAACAGTATTCGACCCATGGAAGGCAGTCAATCCACTTCATCGGCCAGTCTCCAACCATGTAGCGTAGTTCAGGTTCCTCCATCTATAACCGAAAATGCCACATTTGCCCCACCCCGATCAGGTGGAAAGCCGCCAAACAAACATAATTGCCAGCTGGGGTGCCCTGCTCACAATGGTGTAGCCAAAGGGGTCCTCTTGCTCATCGAAACGGGGGAACTCCAGTCTAGTGAACTTCAGGGCAGTGGCAGTGGTGACAGGATAAGGTGGTACTAACACAACCTCCGAGAGGAGGCGGTGCGTTGTGATTGCTGGAAGCGACTACAAAACATCTATCAAAGCTCATCTTGGTCTACCTTCATAGCCTCAACAATAATCTAAAGGCTCTGGACGACATCGGTAAGAACGCGTCACTAGGCGACAAACATGGCTTGAGGGGCAAGCCAAGGGAATGGAGGAAGACTATGATCTCCCAAATGTCATTAGACATTTTTCAAATTAAATACCCAAGGCCAACGGTAACTTTAACGTAAACTTTCGCAAAATTAGGACAATCAAACAAACCTAACAACTTAATGAAATTAAACAGCAAAAGACTAATATATATAGCTTAGCTTCTTTTTGCTTGCATCAATGGTAAGTCCTCCCTATGAATGCATCATTAATCTTTGATTTTTAGGTGCTTATTATGGAGAGAAGACTTTGGAACAACCTGCCAATGAAACGAATTATGTAGGCTTGTGATTTTATTTACAAGGTGGCAGAGCCAATGCTGTCTGTAGTTACTTTTCACCATTTCCATTTTCCTTGCTTTCAACCTAACCTCTACTCCAACTTAGACATTATAGGAATAGGAATATTACTCTTCTCACACAACCAATACCAATGGAAAGACCAAAATTACAATATACCCAAATATGTAAACAATGTTGAACTTAAAATTGAATTAGCACATAAATTTATGATCAATCATATCCATCATAGCACTTAAAATTGAACTAAATCCCTTCCACAGCCCACAGGACACAATTGCATCAAGAATTAATATGATTGTACCACACCAGAAAATCAACTGAAATATCAGAATTCAGCTGATAAAGTAAAGAATGGATATTAATATTGGGAACTATAATACAATACCCATCAAGCACTAGCACAGCTAGATAGGCTATTTAATGTATAGTTCCCACCACAGGAAAATTATGGTTAACTTTCTCAGGAATTGATTCATGAAGAAATATTATAATTCAAGGCTAATTATGACAAGTTAAATGAAAATAGAAGATAAGAGGTATTCTTAATTTAGCAAAATCAAACAGTTCCACCATTCCACAAGCTACAGTATCTGAAAAATATAAAAATTCGCAATCAAATCTCAACTGTTGTCTAGATATTCAAAGCATCCTTGATTGTAGATTCCATCCACATGAATGAGTATAAAGAAGGAATCACAGCCTCCTTCCCCTTCTACCACCCTTTCTACGAGTACTGTCGGTGGGAATTGGTGTGACATCCTCTGCAAAACGAGATGAAAAAACTTGGGTTTTTAAATTGTTCAGAGTATTACACTGTAGTGCACCAAGTCCAATGCTAAGGAATAAAAGATCATAAGGATAGTTGCAATACAATACACTACATTGACATTAAACAGTAATGCATAGTGAATTCACCAAACACAGTCAATTATGTGAGATGCAAGTAAGAGCAGCTTTAAGGATTATCCTAGAAGCAAGGCAACCACTGCACGCATAAATTGAACAAAGGGAGTGAAAAAATATGGTAGAGTATAAGAAATTTATACCTATGCGGCCAATTTTCATGCCTGAACGAGCAAGGGCTCTCAGAGCAGACTGGGCACCGGGGCCAGGAGTCTTTGTTTTGTTCCCTCCTGTAGCACGAAGTTTGATGTGCAGTGCAGTAATTCCAAGCTCCTGACAATATTCAGATGTTTAATCAGATTGCAAGTTTATTTAAGCATAATAATAATAATAATTAAATATTAGTCAAAAAACTTCATATTTAGAAAGCCAAGCAAATAAAACTGACAAGGTAACTGAAAATTGAATGTTACAGGATACCTTGCATCGCTGAGACACATCTTGTGCCGCAAGCATAGCAGCATAAGGAGAAGATTCATCTCTGTCAGCCTTGACCTTCATGCCACCTGCAGACAATAGGTAGAAGTGCTCAACAAAATTGCACCATACAAACAATTAAAAAACAGAAGTACTAGGCCACTAAACAAACAAACAGAGCATATAAAACTAGAACTTTTTAGTTTACATAGCTATTGAGAGAAAATTAACCATGCATTTTACTTCCATAGCATAGATTCAACTCAGAATAACAGAAATAATTCTAAGTTTCTAACAAATAACTAAATAAAGAACTGCAGAATCACCAGCATGACTACAGACACACACTCAGATCAAAAATACAGAAACAAACTATTAACTATTAAAACATACCAGTAATACGGACCAGTGTTTCTCTTCCAGACAAATCCGTAACATGCTGAAGAAAAAAAAAAAAAAAAAAAAAGTAGCAGGTCATAAGCATAACAAAATTCTTATTTGTTTCAGTTTTTTTCTAAAAATTAACAAATGCGTCAGAAAACTTACAATGAACGTATCATTGAATGAGGCAAAAATGTGAGCAACACCAAACACCAACTCCCCTTCTCTTATGGCTGGTCCGAGAGTGACATTCTCCTCCTTGGGCTCCCTGGTCTTTCTCCTCGACTACAAACCCAATAAGACCAAACGACATCACCAATCGGATAGCAATAACGAAGAACAAATTCATAAGTTCTCAAAAAAGTCTACCTAGAATGAAAATCTCAGCAAAGTAGTTGAAAAGGTGAAATTTCGCGGGTAGAGATACAGATTCAAATTACAGATCAACGACAGAAGTAATAATTTTGCAGCGAAAGTGAAATCTAAATAACAGAAAAACATTTCATGCGGATCGAAATGGCAAGAGGGGAAAGAGTTACCATGGCTATGGCTTTGGGTGATGAAGAAAGAGCTGAGCTGCGACTTAAAGCTTGGAAAAACCCTAGAGCTGATTCCAAGTGACAAGGCTCGGCGTTTATATATCTAGGGTTGTAGAAGATATACTATTCCTGGGTCCGTATTACGGGTTATATAAAAAGAAACCTCATAAAAAAAGTCGCATAATTCCTCTACTTCCAGAATGTACGTGGGCTGAGCCCATTAACTTTCCATTGTTATATGGGCTAGCTCCAAATCTATTACGCACGCTGTTTGGATACCCTTAATTCGAACAATTGTGGATTATAGTGCACACAAGTTTTGTATAGACCATATTTTGTATACTGTAAAATATATAATATTGGAGTTAATACTTATTTTGATCCTCTGACTATTAGGGCAAATTATGTTGTGGATCTGTATGCACCATGCATGGTGCATACAGATCCACACGACGTCGTTTTAGCCTAATGACGCGGGGTTTTATAAAAAAAAAAAAAAAATTCCGTTAACGGCGTTTACTTCCAAATTCCTTTTGAGTTTGTTTCCAAGTTTCAAACTCGATCGTTGGCAGTTGTTCGCTGTGGTATTGGCATTCGATATCACCGGAATCGCGATCGCAATCTCAATCGCATTCGCAAATCGCAATCGCAAATCGAAATCGGGAATTACAAAGTGATTGATAGATGGAGGATGGAACAGAGCAGACGAATTCCGCAGTTGATGATTGGCATTCGATTCAAGGTGATCTTGTTATTGTTTTTGCAATCGTTCCTTTTGGTTTTTTGTATGATTATGTGATTAGCAGTGATGTTTGTGTCTAGAATCTGCAAATAGTTGTGCAAAATCACGTAAGTAATTTCCATAATTGTGTAACAACAATTTCAGAATTTGAAAACAATAATTCCATAATTTCATAACTATATTTCCAGAATTGCATGTCTATATATTCAGAATTAGGGGTACTCTGTTTTGGCAGTTTGTTGCAACTGTGTATCCAGAATTGTATAACTATATTTCCATAATCATATAACTATATATACAGAATCTGTAGACACTCTGTTTTTTCTGTTTGATGAACTGTTTGAATTATTGTTCACCATGTCTATATAATGTAGTTAGTGAAGGCATTGTGGATGGTTCAGTAGATGTTGATGGATCTTCATCAATTACAGGTTTATTCATAGTGGTTTACCTTTTAATTAGCAAATTATGGTTAGGAATTATGTGTTAATGGAAATGGTTATTATTGTGTTATATTTGCAGTTGATCAAGATTTGGTTGGTTTGGTAGTAAGTAATGCTGATGAGGCTTTTGAGGTGTATAACAGTTATGCATATACACTTGGTTTTAGTGTGAGGAAGGGTCATCAACGATACAAGGGATCTTCGAACACAATTCAAATGAAGAAATTTTGTTGTTCTAAGGCTGGTTACAAGGCTAACAGTGGGGTTAAGGCTTATTCCAAAATTGACACAAGGACAGGGTGTGGAGCGTTTGTTCAATTTGACGTGGGTGATGATGGGTTGTGGACAGTTACGAAACACGAGAAAGTGCACAATCACGAGTTATGTGTGTTCAACAAGAGTCATCTACTTCGTTCACATAGGAGTGTCGGAGATAATCAGCTCTTATATTTACAAGGTTTGAAGGACAGTGGTGTTGCATTGGCAGATGGTATTAGGTTCCTAAAACACCAATCGGGGGGTCCCCTTTAGTTGGTTTCACCAGTAGAGATGCTTATAATTCAATGGCTGCGGATACTGTCAAGCGATTGGATGGAACGGATTCTAACTCTTTAATTGAAATTTTTAGGAGGAGGCAGTCTACCGAGACTGATTTTTTCTTTGATTTTGAACTTGACTTGGATGCAAGGTTGTGCAGTTTTTTTTGGAGGGATGGTCAAATGAGACGAGATTACGAGGTGTTTGGGGACTTGTTAGTGCATGATACGACATATCGCACAAACAAATACGATATGATTTGTGCCCCTTTCGTAGGGATGAATCACCATTGCATGAATGTAATGTTTGGATGCGGGTTTTTGATGAACGAGAGGATAGAATCGTTTGTGTGGTTGTTTAAAGTGTTTTCAAGATCAATGGGTGGCAAGTCTCCACAGACTATTATGACAGATCAATGTGCAGCTATGGCTGCTGCTATATCTAAAGTGTTTCCAACATCACGTCATCGTCTTTGCATATGGCATATCGGTGAGAATTCAAAGAAGCATATCAAGACGTTAAGGAGCAATAAGGATTTCTTGGATATGTTTAACTACGTGTTGAAATACACAGAGACCGAAGCTGAATTTCAATTCTATTGGACAAGGTATGTTAGTAATTAATCGTTTTTATTGCATTACGTTTGTAATTATGGATGTATAGTGCATCAATTATGGATATATAGTATTTCGATTATGGATATATAGCAGTGGTGGTGTCTGGAAATGTAGTATATGGATTATGGATATATAGTATTCCGATTATGGATATATAGTATACCGATTATGGATATATAGCAGTTGAACTTACTGGTAGTGTCTGGAAATGTAGTAGTATGGATTATGGATATATAGTCTATCAATTATGGACATATAGTATTCCAATTATGTATATAGAGCAATAGAAATTCTGAGTATGTGTTAGATGTGGTGATGCTGCTTGTTAATATTCTGCTTCATAATCATTTGGGATTTTGTCTTACCATTTTCAGGTTGGTGACTAACTATAAATGTCACAAGAATACTTGGTTAGAAAAGCTATATGACTGTAGGGAGAAGTGGTGTCCAGCATTTAACAAGGACTATTTTTCTGGGGGCATTCTATCATCACAAAGGAGTGAAACTACAAATCATTCGATTTCTAGAAGGTTGTCCAAGACAGCGGGTCTTTGTGATTTCTATTCATCGTTTGTAAGCGTAATTTCTGAATGGAGAAGTAAAGAGAACGGTGAAGACTTTCGGTGTGCTCAAGGGGTACCCGCTATGATGATGGAGCATGTGAAACTTCTTTCACATGCTAGAGAGGTATACACGATTGAGATATATTTTCTGTTTGAGGAACAATTCATGAAAGGCAGTGCGTGTCATCAAGAGATGGTGTTGAATGATGGCCGTCAACAGAAGTATCACGTGTGGCGGCCAGATATAGATATTATAAGGCATGAGGTTAGTTTTAACGCAGCCAACTTGGACATTTCTTGTAGTTGCAAGTTGATGTCTGAGTTGGGAATTCTATGTTGTCATTGTATACGCATTCTTCACGTACATTGTGTTTCTAGTATTCCCGACAAATATATACTTAAAAGATGGACTAAAAAGGTTATTGATGGTAGGAATGTCAACATTGATTCTATGGTTTATAATGTTGGTGTTCCTCCATCAATTTGGGTGTTCGATATTAGTAGAAAATTTCAAAGATTAGCTGTGTCTAGTCAAGATAGCAGCGTAGCGAGGAAACTGTGTGACGAGGCTGTTGATGATGTAAAGAAAAAGGTTGAAGCCGAGGTTGGGCATGTGCATATTGAAGAGTGTGGTGTTTCATCTTCAAGTGGTGGTGTTCAAAATCCTTCAAGTCGGAGATTGAAAGGTGAGCGTAACAAAAGGAGGAGTGGTGTTATTGAAAAGAAGTACAGTCTTGCAAGGGGGAGAAGGAGTGCTGCAAATAAAGCTGCATTGAGTACAAAGGGTGCTGTTCAGTCTTTGGTGTTGGAAAACATATCCAAGCTTGCTGGGGATGGATACCTTGTACATCCAAGTTCTTCAAGTTCAGATTTTGTTCAGTTTAGTAAGGGTTTAGATGACAATGTAGGTGTAGATTGAGAAATACAAGTTGTTATCATTGATTTTATGCAATTATACAGTTTTAGTTTTGTAATTCTGGATATGTAGTTTTGCAATTTTGGAACTGTAGTTATGAAATTATGGAATTATAGTTATACAATTATGGAATTGTAGTCATGCAATTATGAAAGGTATGCAATTATGAAATTATAGTCATTCAATTATGAAAATATAGTTATGCATTTATGCATGTGTAGTCCCCATTGTGATGGAATTTGTAGTTATGAAATTGTGGTGTATAGTTATGCAAGTATGGATGTATAGTTTTGCAATTATGGTATTATTGTTACGCAATTATGGAACTATAGTTATGCAATTGTGGAATTGTTTATATACAATTATGGAATTATAATTATGAAATTATGGAATTATAGTTATGCAATTATGGAACTATAGTTTTGCAATTCTGGATTTATAGTAGTCATGCAATTATAGATTTGATACATGAAAACAAAAACAAAAACAAAAAAAAAAAAAAAAGTAAAGAAAAGAAAAGAAGAGAAAAGAGAAACAGGTGCATAGATCAGATGTAAATTGTTATTTAGCTATTAACATCATGCATCTACATTCACAAAATACAAGTCACATTGTCAATGTAGTTCACAAAAACTTTCTAATTGTTTAGAATTCAGTCAACATGTTGAAGAATATTCATTCAATTCTTCTTCGAAACTCTTTTGGCCGCTTGCAGAACCTCCCCCCTGACTTCATTCATTCTCCACTTTATGAGGTTCGCAGCATATTTCGCTCGCAATTCACACATGAAGCTTGCCTATAAACAAAGAACATTAAGTAATTAGTCATTCGCAGTTTTATTTATTTTTTAATGTATTTTGAAACTATAAAATGTATGGTAGTCTTACATTCAAGCGCATATTTTTCTTGAATCCTGGCTGCCAGTCTTGTAGAGTCCCTCGGAATGTCTCCATATGACGGAGTACATAGATCCCGCAATCAGTGACGTTTTCAGTGTTTGCCCAGTCCAACTTAAGGTACTTTATATCAACTTTTTGCAATTTCACATACAAGGAGTGGCACTCGGCCTTAAGGTAACCACTGAATGCTTCAATCTGGTCAGAAAAGTTAGTTTAGTGTTGATAATGCTTTTATGTCAATAGATAGGTAATGGTAAGAATGTCAAGTTTTTTTTTATCAAAATTACCAATAAGTGTGGGCAGTTGCCATATTTGTCCTTCTCCGAAACACCAGCTGGTAACTCCTTGTTGTCAATGACCTGTACTTTATGTTCTTTCACATTGAAGCAGACCAAGAAGTAGTGAC